ATCAGTGAATAAAAAGTTATTCACTGTCAAATATTTTACTATTTTTAGTAGTAATTACGTAAATCCGCCCATATGAAGGGAGGGGTACCCCATTATCAACCGCAGTTAACTTACAAAAATTTTTTTTTTATCATATTAGATTTAAACGAAGAGTCTGAGTCAACAGTATGTTTAACGGTTTTTTGGATAGTTTTTTTTTCCTTTTACTAATATATATATATCTATTAAAAACTATAGGAACCGATCGATATAAATATATCAGCAATGTGTGATATCTCTGTTTCGGCTGTGACCTCTATCAAGAATACATATAAAAGTGTAAGTTATTATTATTAATTATTATGAATTATTATTATTATTATTATTAAATCAATTAATAAATATTAAGGTTTTCGAAAAATTCGAACATGAAAAAGAAGATAATCAATTTATATAATTGTGAATAATTATATAGTTTTAATAAATACTAGTATTAAATAATTTATTAGTTCTTCTCAATAAAATAAAGGACCTTGAAGAACGAAACAAAGAGTTGGAGAGAAAAAATAGAAGTTTGGAAGAATTACTAACCACTACGGCCAATCATATTAAAAATACTAGAAATTCTAGTGATGAATTTATACGTAGTCATTTTCCTTAATGTATATATTTTTTTATCACACTCTCAATAAATCAATATTTTTTAATTACTAATTATAAACAAAGGATGAAGCCATTAATATCATGCTAAAAGCTTTAGATTCTTATGTTATTAATGGTCAGAAACAACATTTTAATAATGCGCATACAGTATATTAGTGGAAATGATAAAATTATAATCTTATTTTATATGTGTTAGGTGTTACTCATAATATTCCATTACTTCGCGAAGTCATTTCAAGCCAAAGATTTCAATCTGGTAATATATCCACGAAATTTCTTGCAGAAGAATATCCAGGTGGATTTAAAGGTCATGTTGTCTAAGATGAATCTCTACATGAACTTATTTCCATTTCTGCGTTTGTTCATGCTAAACGTGATTTGAGAAATTGGAGTTGAATTGATAGAAAAGAACCTTTATTTAGAGGTGACTTGAACAAAGACGCACCAAGTAAATGGGATCTTTGGATAGCAATTGATAAAAATAAGGCTATTGAACCTATTAACGTAAAAGTGGAGAAAAAAAGCATGAGCGATGAAGAATTTGAGGTATGGCTAAAGCTGACATGATTAATTCTTGTTTAAAGTGTTATTTAACGACGTTTCTACATATGATACAGATCCTAATCCAAACCATCCAAAAACTATAATATAAGCTAAATGGCCATTGGAATCACCATTGACTAATGCATTTCTTCGTATTGATAATCAAGAAAACGAGACGTTAATTGCGCAATATGTCGATCCTTTACCGATTGGTTCCGAATACAATATGCAGGCACAAAATTTTATTTGATGTCAGTCTACACACAACGACAGCATGAGCTGAGTCAATATATGATCGAAAAACCGAAACAAGATGATATTGAGTTCTATGCCTGGTAGTGTTGTAAGCGTGGCCGTGGAAGCTGGCGATGGTAAAGTATTATTATAAAATATACAAAAAGTTCAAAACCAAAATTTATTTACAATTAAAATTACAGGTTGTTGAAGGAACCGAAATTGTTGTAGTAGAAGCCATGAAAATGCAAAACATATTACGCGCTTCGCGTGCAAGTGAAGAAGGTTAACGTTAAACCGGGTGATGCAGTGGCTGCGGAAGAGGTTATAGTAGAATTGGAGGATGTGAACCAAAAAAATACGTAAATTCAATAATGACAATAACTAATTCATGTAATAAAACAACTGTATATATGTTTGGGAGGAATTTGAGAGAACAAATACGCGAGTTGAGTCTTTAGAATAACAATTAAATTATAACCATTTTATTTAATATCTTTTACTGTACGCATTGAAAGTGCAAGAACATACGACATAGCCGTAACTGAGGTAGCTACTCTTGATCTATAAATGGTCGCAACCTTAGTATTTTAGTGCAGATATATATTGTAGCATTGCAAATTACTTCATTGTGTCAAAATATTGAAAATAATCGATCTATTCACAAACTTTGCCAAAAGTTCATATATGAGTGACGCCAAGGGAAATGCATCTCGACAATTTATATTATTGATTAATTTCGAGTTCAGAATGATGCAGATGGGCTTTAAATTGTACGTTAACGTTAATAGACATTTCATATCAACGTTTGTTATAAAATCGATAATTAATCAGTAATATACTTAAATTGCCGAGGTGCCCTTTTCCCTTGGCGTCACTCATATATGGTAATTGCTTACATTTAACCATTTAAATACGTAGTAATAATCAACTGTAATTTTTTTTAAATATTTCAAGCATAACTGAAATATATTTTCTGCAACTGTCCTTAACGTTAGTAGAATTTTAGAGCAATTTGGACTGAACATTTCTATTATGATTCTCTTTCAAATTTGTGATACTATGACTTCCTTTTATATGCACTTTCCCGCTAAAAGCAGATAGCAATCTTAGCCAAAGA